TTTTTGGATGTTCGATTAACTGAACAAACATCTCATTATCAAACATTTAAATCAAATATTATCAATACAAAAGCAAAATTATTAGTTATTGAATTAGGCGCTGGTACAGCTGTTCCAATCGTAAGACATGAAAGTGCAGTAACATTCATTGATCCAAGATGGACAGCTGATTTTATTCGTATAAATCCATCAGCTGAACATTCAATTATTGAATCCTATTATAGACATAAAACTAAAGGACAAGGAATAGAAATAACTCTTGATGCATTAACAGCTTTAACATTAATTGATGAAGTTATCAAAAAGAAAATATTTTAACATTATTTTTCGATACATTTAAATAAAACCAAGATAAATAAAAAATTTCAATCTTAAAATAATATCTGTCCATTCTCGATAAATTTTTATCCACCAACTTCGATATATTGGTCGATTTTGACCATTAAATCTATACCATAAATCTTTTTCCCATGTTTGATTAAACCATTTTAATGCATGTTCATTTGCAGATGATCGTGTCATTTGATGTGAAATTAAATAATTCTCTAATTCATGTGTTCGAACTACATGAATACTACGACAACATGCTGGAATAACAAAACGAGATATATTTTGTTTTGATGCATAACCATTTAACCAAATATCATCAACTCGACGAATATTATCAGATACTTGATTAAAATCAAGATAAATATGAGAATCAAAAAATGATGGACGAATTAAATAAGCATGATTAGCAGTTACAATACCAACATGATAAACATTAAAAAGACGAAAAGATTCAATAATATGATAAAAGATTTCTTTTTGACCAGATACACCCCAAATAAGATCTTCACGAACTAAAATATAAATTAAAAATCTTTTAATCGAAGTATTCAAAGATGATATTCTTACTTCGCCATCCTCTTAATCCAACAATACTATTGGTGTATTCATTTGAATATTTCATTAATGTAGCTATTGTTTCGGGATGATAATAATGATCATCATCACAAATAATAATTTGTTGTGAGTTTAATATAGTTGTTGATAATAAATGTGATTCTTTTATAATAGGAAGAAATTTTGTTGCTGGACCATAATCTTCTTCTTCGAAATAAATTTGTACTAATTTATCAAATAATTTACTGATATATATCGATGAATCAATATGATTTATATATATTTTTAAATGATTTAATGTTAAATTACTGTATTTGATAATTTTATTAGTGGGTGATAAATAAATACGAATTTGTTTAGGTAGTTTTGTTTGAGTTAATAATGAATGAATAGTAATTGGTAATTCATAATTAAATCGTAGTGGTGTACTTGTTAATGATACAATGACATTTGAGGAAGAAAAACAATACAAATTTAAAGGTTTAATCAATGTAGTATAGAAAAATAGACGAAAAACTGTTAAACATAAAAAGAGAAAAATAATTAGAGCAACAGAACGATGAATAGAATGTCGTCGAAATATTCTTATTAGTAATCGATATTGGTACGAACAGATGTGATATTTAATTATACGCATTGAAAGTTTATTTTGTGTTGATAAAAATGAGGAGTATCACAATAAATGACGAAACACGTGCAGTAAAAAGTATATTATATCGATGGGACGAAAAAAGAACGAGAATATTACAACGTTGTAAGGTATGGTGTTTGAATATAAAAAGTATTGAATGATATGATATATGATTTATTGTACTTGTCAGAGCAATTACGTTTGCAAATGTTATATGCAGTATATAAAGTAATATAGTTTCATTTCTGTTTAGTAAATTCAAACTAACGTCAGTCTCGTTACAAAATTCTATGAGATAAATTTTGTTCTTCAATCGATTTTTTTATAACAAAAATACAATAGGATAATCAAAAATTTTGAACAATGAATATAACTAAAAACAAAATTCATAACAATACAATTTATTATTTGTTTTTTACACGTTCGAGATTTTTTCTATATCCTTGAAGATGAGGATTATTTGAAGGTAATGATTGTTGTCCGATTTGTATAGCATGTTCATAAAATGTACGGGCTTCTGCGTAATTACCCTTTTTTTCAAATACCAAACCAATATTGTTGGAGGACGTAGCCAAATCAGGATGAGAGGGAGGAAGTGATTGTTGTCTGATTTCAAGAGCTTTCTCATGCGATGAAAGTGCTTTTAGATAATTATGCATGTAGTAGTGCACTAAACCAATGTTGTTGGAGGTCGTAGCCAAATCAGGATGATTGAGAGGAAGTGATTGTCGCTGAATTTCAAGGACTTTTTCATAATAAGAAAGTGCTTTCAGATGATCACGCATATGGTAATGCATCAAACCAATGTTGTTGTAGGACATCGCCAAATTAGGATGATTGGGTGCAAGTGATTGTTGTTTGATTTCAAGATTTTTTTCATAATAAAAAAGTGCTTTCAGATAATCATGCATATAGTAATACACTAAACCGATGTTGTTATAGGAAGAAGCTAAATCAGGATGATTGAGAGGAAGTGATTGTCGTTGAATTTCGAGAGTTGTTTCATAATAATTAAGTGCTTTTGGATAATTACTCATGCTATGATGCACTAAACCAATTTTGTCGTAGGAAGAAGCCAATTCAGGATCATTCGGGGAAAGTGATTGTTGTTGAACATCAAGGTATTTTTGATAGAATGTAAGTGCTTCTTGATATTCTCCTTGTTTATATTTAATTAAACCAAGTTGACCATAAATAGGCGCCTTGTTTTTATCATCGTTTGTTTGATTAAGTAAAATTTGATAAATATCTTCAGCTGTGCCAAATTGACCCATTTCCTGTAGTATCATACCTAATCTGTACCATCCTTCAGTGTTTGGATTACTCTCTTGTCGTTGCCGAATGTAATCAGTAATTCTCGACAGTTCTGGATCGTTGTCAGCAGCCAGTACTAAATTAACTTGATATAAACTATTATTTCCATCCATTTCGTTAATATCCTGGATACGAAACACGCTATGCATTGAAAATAAGACTTCTTCTTC